GAAGACACACTAGGGCTTATTTTCAGGGGATGTCTTATTTTTATTAAGTATAATACAACAATCTACATTTATTCAAATACAGTTAAGTCATCTTCTTCTGGAACCTGACCAGGGGAGCCAATCTTGTTGGTGGGGCTGACACTAGTGATGTGTGAACTCCTTTCCCCTAGCCATTCGCACGTGTGTAATACGATGCCTGCAACCGCGGTTATCACACGTGTACCCTCGAAAGTGCGAATGGCTCAGAGAAAGGAGCTGTGGCAGATAAAAGGTATTCTAGTTTTCCTTACTGCTCCGTGCCGAAATGCACAGCCCATGCATAGCCACGCCCATCACTAAGTCTTATTGTCCAGGTAAGGCTTATATTTAACAAATGCATAGAAATCCTGCTAGGGCTTATTTTGGGGTTAGGTCTTATTTTGGGGGAAACATGGTATGTGTCTTCTAGCAGAGGGAACATGAAGAAAGGAATATAGTTGTTTTGGGAACAGAGGAGAAGCAGCTGGGGTTCATTCCCTGAATGTTCCCCAGGCTATGGGGGCTCTGCCTCCTCACAGCCTGCTCTCCACAGGGTGGGAGTGATGTTTACAGGAACATTCTTGGGTCTTTAGCCTGAACTGGTTGATATCCATGTAGGGTGAGGACATCAGCATTTGTTTTCTAGGTGATTGCCTGGTCAACAAATCAGGAGATGAGATGGAGAATTACTGGTTCAAAACTGAGAATAGAAAAACCATATACCCTGAACCCATAAATGCATCAATGTACGTTATGATTTAATAAAAAAAATTTTAAATAAAGTAAAACCATAATTAGTGGCCCTAAACTAGGAAATAACCAAGGAGGCCATGATTCTGAGAGAAGATACCTGAGAAGGGTGAAGTCTAGGAGAATGGGTCTTCTCAAGGGATACAGCTGTGGGGTCCATGGTGAGTCAGCTTTTGAGAATTTATAAACATAACTTCCTGGAACTCCAAGTTCCGTGAAATCCTGTAGTTCTATAGGGGCTGGAAAAGCATCTCCTGCTTAATTCAAACTGGCCATTGAGAAGGGTACCTATGGGTTGGAACTTTCTGACTGTCAATAAAAAGGGAAAGACCAAGTCAGTCAGGGAGTGTGGCCATTTGGAATTCTTCTATGCTGCAAGATTCTGGCTGGTAAATAAAGCCCTTCTTCTTATTAACATGATGTTTGGGTGCTCTTTCTCTCCATTGGGCCCCGTCTTGCTGCAACATGTTCAGCACCACGAAGGGGAGTAGCCTGAGGGTGCAGTAAATTACCATCAATTCCCACTAGTGAGATGTTTGTTTTAGAGACCTTTACAAGATGGCAGCGTGGAAAAAGTTGTTCCCATGTTTATTAGAAAAGAAATTGGCTTACCTTTCACTAGCAAAAATACCTGGAGTTCAAATTTTGTGAGGGTTCAGGGGGCATTCTGATTTTCCAGGGATCCTTATCTTCCACAGGTGGGCTTAAAATGTTGGGAAATTTTGCTAGGTCCTGGGAGTGACTATGAACCAGATCATTAGAAAGACCTGGGAGAGTCAGACTTCCAGCGAGGTCTTCCCCAGACTGGACATGGTTTGTGAGGAGGGTTTGGATTTGGGCACTGGTTTGCCCAAATGCCTGGTTTGCTGCACTTAAAACATGGTCCCAGGGGAGGTTTTGTTCTTTCGGAGTGCCCCAAGGAGTTTCAAGAAGTAGCCAGGTTTTGTCTAATGGCGGAAGCCAATAACTGGAGTTGTGAGGGGTCATGAGATCTCGCTGGGAGTCTGAGGGCTCTGAGGGGATTTTTGGAGTTTTTTCCTGATACAGTCTCTGACTTATGTGGAACAAGTCTGAGAGAGAAAAAGGGACATGAACCCTGATGATGCCTTCCATTCTGGCAACTCCTTAGAGCAGGGATACACGTTGTTGTGGTCTGTAAATAGAAGGTCCAAAGGTGTGGCCAGACCTGTTATGGGGTTGAGAAATCGGGTCCACCATGTTTCTTTCTCTGGGTTCCGCCATCTTTTTTGTTTCTACCATGTGCTGTGGAAGACAGGTGAGGGGCTGTGGAGAGAGGGATGGGGTGGAATTCTGTGGGTAGGAATTCTGCCAGTAAGAATGAGCTTGAGGAAGGAGGCTGTGGAGGGGCAGAAGGAGTGGGTTGTCTGCCTAGTTGAAAGAAGACAATGGAGATTCGGATGGGTGGGGGGAGGTGGTTTGACCTGCGCAAGGAAAATCTGAGAGGGTTCACAAGACAAACACAGAGAAGGAATGTTTTGGAAAAGGAGAAAAGCTCAGATGTAAGGAATCTCCAGCCTGATTTCTGATAGTAATTATTGAGATCAGTGAGGATTGAGAGGTCAAAGGTGCCATTTTCAGGCCACTGTAAGCTATTGTCTAGTTTGTACATATGCCAAGCAGTATTACAGAAAAAGATGAGGCATTTAGGTTTAAGGTCATGACAGAGCTGTAAAGGTTTGAGGTGAGTTAAAAGGCAGCTTAAAGGTGAAGAAGGGGAATCCGTGACTGAGCAGTCCCCATATCGGAAACTGGAGGTAAAAAAACAAACCAGGTTAAAGTGGAAATATAGAGATTGGGAGAAGGAGGAAGGAGGCTGAGGACTGGGGTCAGGGAGGTTACCAGGCCTCCACGTGTGAAACCAGACAGAGAAAACTGGCCCAGGCCCATGGGAGGGTGTCCCAGACTCAAGGCACTGGACAGGCAAGTCTGACTCACCCAGATTAGTCCATAGATGTCCAGGGTGGGGTGAGGGAGGTACCAGGCCTCTGTGTGTGACCTTTAACCAGCCAGAAGAGTGGCCCAGGCCCACAGGAGGATGTCCCCAAACACAAAGCACTGGACAGGTCAGTCTGACTCCCTGGGGTTAGTCACAAACAACCAGAATTTTTTGGCCCAGAGTGGGAAAAGGGAAGAGAAGTTCCCAGATGGGCTATATACAAGTGCTTAAGAGGCCCAGAGATGGAGGGAGATGGACAGAGAAGTTGGAGTGGGGAAACAGAAAGAGCAGTTTAAAAAGTTCAGAAAGGGGTTCTAGACAATTGCTCACCTCACCATTAAATGGATGAATTCTGGGCAGAGATTGGAGGGGTTCCCCTGTTTCCCTTCATCTCATCAGAACAACAGTCCATCTAGTTGGGTCTGATGGGGTGTATTTTGGCCCCCCAAGGGGACTTCTCCCTGATCCAAGTCACGGTACCAAAATGAGAGGTCAAACACTGAAAATAAAAGATTATTCTAAAATGTGAACAAAAGGAAATGGAGTCCAGGTTCTGTGTGGGTAACACCAGCCTTTATTCCCACCTATGTGTGGGTGAGCTGAGTTTGAAAAGGTAGTTCACCTGTGGGTTACGGTGTATGGAAATTCAAAGGGTTGGAAGAGTAGGGGTTGGCACATTCCCTTTTTCCTGGGTGGGACATTCTATTTGGGCGGGTCTGCTCTATTTGGGTGGGTCTGCTCTATTTGGGTGGGTCCCTCCATTTGGCTCTATCACAAAGTGGTAATTGACAGCAAAAACAAATGGAAACTGAGAATAAAACTGGAGCAGCACAGGCAGCGTGAATAGAGAGCAAAGTAACCTGCACAAGTTTCAAGTATAAACAAAGAGAAATTTTATTTAAGAAGAACAAAGAGAAAGTTGAGAGCACTTCCAAAGAGAGTTGGAAGTGGGTCCCTCTCATGATGGAGAGAAGGTAAGAGAGACAGAGTTGCAAAAGCCTGCAGAGGTATAAATACCCTCTCTGATTGAAATTGGCTGTGACTCTTTCACTGGCCGCTCTGCTCCTCCAGACAGTATCACCCTTTTCTTTTGGTCATTGGTTACCTAGGTTACCTCATACCCTCATTCTTATGGGCTCTCCAGACTTTCTGGCTTAGCAGGCCAAGTTTTCGCCCCTCCCCCCACTCTTGAAGCCTCTTTCTTTGTGTCTCTTCTCAAGCTTTGCTTCACACTGTCCCTGGCTGCCAGCCAAAGAATGCTCTTGTCATGATAATGTAAAGCTCTGTACTCACAAGCGGATGAGAAAACATGTGTGAAGCTTCCTAAATTCTAAGTTCAAAATTAGCATGATGTTTCCATCCACATTTCACTGGGCAATCAAAGTCATGTGGATAAACCGTGGCCAAACTCAGGGAAGTACCCTCAGCGTCTGCTGAGGCTGTGGAGATAATGTAGATTCAGGCAGGGGTGAGAAACGGGACCAATAATTCAGCTCATAGCCTTATCTGTCCTCTTTTTTTATTCTCTGCCAATGAGATTGCTACCAGGTCTCTTTGCACTCATTGAACTCATCCCAGTTTCTATTTAACTCTCTTAACAGAATGCCTAAAAATCTCTTTATAGCTTTATAACTGCCTTAGGAACCAACTCGCTTTGGTGGCACAGAGCTTCCCACATGTACTCCGAAACTCCCTTCTTTGGGATATTTCTACCCTTGGGTTTAGCCAAGATAAACACTCCAAATTCATAATGTACCTCAGAAAGAAGGATTTTTAAAAACCAAAATTGGAAGATTGATCCAGCCTGTACTGTATTTCCCAGAGGAACAGAAACTGGTTTCTAATTAGGAGAGCTCTTGTAGATGAGTAACTTTTCACATGCCTCACAGAAGCTCATATGGAATATTCTGTATTCAAATGATCAAGTTTTAGAGGCATTACTCAGGCTGTAAGCCAATTATAAAATCGAGGTTTTGCCATAGGCTAGCCGTAAGAAGCAGAAATGGTTAGAGGGAGAATATAATCAGAATAGAATGTCAATAAAACTTTAGCTCTTTCTCTGGCTTTTGAGTTTAGAACCCAAAAACTAAACCTTCAAACCGAAAAAGATGAGCTATGAGTTATGAAAATGGGGAAAGCAAATTTCAAGAATTAGGGATGTATTTACCAGAAAAGGAAGATGATGACAGTGGTCAGAGGAGACAATTTCCTTCCTCTTTTCTAATCTTGGCTCCAGAGCCCCAAGCTGAACCTCTTCAATGTCTGGCAGGTTACGGATTTCACCGCTGCCATCAGCTGGGAAACAACCATGTGCCTCTTGATAGCTGTGCTCCTTTCGGGTAAGTTGGGCTCAGAGGTGGTGGCTCTGGCTTTGGGAAGTCAAGATTTTGTCTTCCTTTGGTATCTTTGGCTAGAACTCCTGAGTATAGAGCAACTGTATCTGTTTTTTGTGGTTTATTGAATCAAAAGGATGAAAATGGGGATCCTGATGTACCAGTAAGCCTGGAAGCCCCATACCAAGATAAAGTCTCAGCAATAACAACCTTTGGTTTTTCAGTTCTGCTAATACCTGATTTGGAGAAATGGAGATAGAAATTCAAGAGATCTGTGATAACCCCCGGAGTTTACATTAATTCTCTCTCCCCCAGTTATCTCCTCATCATCTCCCACTGACCAACTCCTAACTCTCTTCTCTGGTCTCTTGCAGTTCCAGTTGGCGGGCAAGTGGGTGAGTCACTTCTAACTCAACTCCTCCTGTGCCACTTTGCTAGTTCTAAGGGATGGGTCCTATTTACTTGAAGAAGAGTATAGAGGGAGAGGATAGAAAGGAGAAAGATTTACAAATTATATAAAATCTCTCACATTCAGAGCATGATTTTGATAAAACCTTGATTTTAAAGTTTTTCTTTCTAAGGCTTACTGAATGAGCCCTGGCCACTGAACTAAATGCCTAAATGCATTTACGATTGCAGGAAAGGGCCAGATTTGCAAATATCCAGAAGTGGCTTCTCTGGGTTTTCTAATATCCCTGATGCCAGTTCCCTTTGCAAGAAACCTAAGTAGTTTTTTTCTCCTCAGAAAAAGCCAGGCAGAGGAAGGAGTTTGCACCTCCATTTCCAATACAGAAGCTGATGAAAATCGGGGCTTTACCATCAGGGACAACACAGTATGGGGAATAAGAAAACTAGCTCCACTCGGCTTGCCCCAGTTTAAAACTTAAAAGCTTCATTGTTTATTAACAGAAATATTTAAATCTGTAATTTAATCCTCAGGAGCCCCAACACCCAGATGAGGATTTAATAACATGCACAGAGCTCTCTGAAGCAGTGTCTTCTTAAAGGCTTTTTGTAGATTCCCACTTGCCTACTTTTCGAGCTATGCTAACTATGCATTTTTTCTTCCCTTCTGTCATCTTACCAATCACTCAGAGTCCTTCCTTTTACTTCACTTGGTCTTTTTTTTTAAATTTCCAAGCAGATCCCACACAGGCAAGGATTACCTTACAGCCTCCATGGACCAGCATGTTCCCAGAGGAAACTATAACCTTATGGTGTGAGGGGCCCCATCTGCCTGGAGACAGCTCCACACAGTGGTTTCTCAATGGCACAGCCATTCAGACCTCAACCCCCAGATACAGCATCTCTTCTGCCAGTGCTAGTGACGCTGGTGAATACAGATGCCAGACAGGTCTCTCAGAGCCAAGTGACCCTATACAGTTGGAAATCCACAGAGGTGAGTGTGGCATGGAGCAGGAGGGCTGGAAATCACAAGGTCTTCCTTTGTATTTTCTCCCTTCTGGATGCCAGATGTGTGCCAGATTGATTTGAGTATGAGCCTCAGCCATCAGAATCTAACAGTGGTCACCAACACACCCCAATGGGGCCAGCTGTGAGTAGTGTGTCTACAGTTAGACTAGGTAGACTCAGATCCTAAGATTTTATCATTATTCAAAATGTATACCTGAACATAAGAAATACTAATAATTCAGACAAATATGCAGTGATGAACAATTAAAAAATCTGTAGAAACAAAACTGTTTATATAAACTTTATTAAAAATCATGGTTGGGCTCGGCGCCTATAGCTCAACCGGCTAAGGCGCCAGCCACGTACACCTAAGGTGGCAGGTTCGAATCCCCAGCCCGGACCTGCCAAACAACAATGACGGCTGCAACCAAAAAATAGCCAGGTGTTGTGGCGGGCGCCTGTGGTCCCAGCTACTTGGGAGGCGGAGGCAGGAGACTCGCTTGAGCCCAGGAGTTGGAGGTTGCTGTGAGCTGTAATGCCACGGCACTCTACCCAGGGGGACAGCTTGAGGCTCTGTCTCAAAAAAAAAAAAAAAAAAATCATGGTTGATAGAATACTCTCTGTATACTGTCCTTCATCATACTTTTAACAGCTTGGAGGTCTCTTTGTATCAATAGAGATCTGCTTTTAAATGTCTGCTATATGGATTTAACCATTCTGCCTATTCATAAACTTCTAAGCTGTTTCCATTCTTTTAATTTTACAAGCAATGCTGCAGTAAATGTCTTTATACATGTAGTCTGGGACACATTTCATTTTATATATGTAAGATGACATTCTGGATATGGAATTACTGTGAGGCTTACATGAATAAAAGCAGAACAAAACCCACTATGCACTTAAATCTGTAAGCAGTTTCTATCCGTCAAGAGATGAAGACTGAAATGTTCTTCACAACAAAATAACCAAATGTATTATTCACTTATACAGCAGTAATGAGCTCAAACTTCTTTGAAATTGTTAATGTAAAAGTTGGTCCACATTGAAGGCAGAATGACATTTGTGCAGACTTGTTGCTTTTATAGGAAGTGTGCTTAGGCTGAGGAAATGTTGAGAATACCCAAAGGAAGGCTTGATGTTATTCACGTGTCTCTTAGGACTCTAGGAAAAAGTTCTGAGGATGGAGCTGTCTTTTAACAAGACAAAAGTTTAGTTCGAGCAGAAAAAAATGTTCCATGGTTCAAGCGACAAAAAATAGACTAGGACTGGGAAGAGGAGACTTTCCTCGCCTCTGTGCAGATTCTAGAGTACCCAGCCTCGGTGACTTATTGAGAACAGTATCTTGTTTGCATTATATGTTCATGTGAATTTCTCTTAAAGTATAGCTTATGCAACAAGCCATAAGCACACACCTCAGTGAAGTTTCACAAAGTAAGCCACACACTTACTGGTGTGAAGGTCAAGAAATAAGACAGTACCAAGACCCCAGAAACTCCTTTTTTTACCCATTTCTTTTCATTCTCTAACACTGACTTCTAACATTGTGGTTTTTGCCTATTTTTGAACTTTATTTAAACAACTGCAGTAAGGTACAGAATATACTCTTTTGTGTCTGGTTTCTTTTCTCAGTATTGTAATGGTGAAATTCATACATGTTGTAATTTGAAGTTCTTTTGTTCTTATTACTGTATGATATTCCTTATTTTTCTGTTTTATTGATGGACTCTCAGGTTATTTCCATTTTTGACCTCGTACAAATAGTACTGCCATGGACAGTTTTTAAACATGTTTTTGGTGCACCTATGCATACTATCTGTTGGAAAATGCCTGGTGGTGGAATTGCTGGGTCACAAAGTATGCAAATAACCAGCTTTAGTAGATACGGCCAAAAAATTTTTTAAAGCTGGTTGTACTGATTTCCACTTCCACAGAGTGTGAGAGTTTTCTTGCTATCCATCTTCATCAACACCAGGTATTTTCTATTACATATTTTCATTTTGCCATTCTACATTGTGGTTTTAATTTGCATTTCCCTGATGACTATGATATTGGCCATTTTCACATGTCTATTACCTACTTGGATATCCTTTTATCAGATACTTGATCAGGTCTTTCTGATAATCTTTCTATTGTCTGTCTTTTTCTTACGGGCTTACAAGAGTTCTTTATATATTCTGGATGTGAGTCCTTCTTCAAGTGTTATAATATCTCCTCCCCTCTGTGTCTTGCCTTTTCACTATCATATTATGGTTTGTTTGGCTTTTTTCTTCTTCATTGAACAAAACTTTATTACGGTATGACACATCGAGCTTGTTGTTTGGTGTTCTCTATATCCAACTTAAAAATTTTGCCACAGTCAGCAGTGGCAGATTCAATGGCAGCTACACTGACTCTCAGTAACCTGGATTTATTCCATGTATGCTGAGTTAAAGAAAATATCACTGGTTAGTGGACCCAAGTCCTAATCATATAGCTTAGAATGAATGTTCCCTTCCTACTCCAAGGTCATGAAGATGGGAGAATGGCTTTTGAGTAGGAAATTAGTAATGTCTACTAAAAGCGGCATCCCATGGGTTTGGATATATAATATATTATTATTTAAATTTCCATTTTAATTTTTTTTTTTAACTCATGAATGCTTTAGAAATTTTTTGGAGGGTGGCTTTTTGTTATTGATTTCTAGTTTTATTGCATTTTGACCAGAATTCATGTTAAATAGGGTATTCATTTGTTGAAAATGACTTTGTGGCCTCGTGTGCACATAATTTTTATCACTGTTGCATGTGTATTTGGAAAATATATGATTTTTCTTTTTCTAAGCTACGGCTTTCTACAAAATCAAGCCTATTAATTGTGATATTCAAATATCTCCTATCATTTGAGTATTTTGAAAGTTTCTGTTGGTGGTATATTAAAATTTCCCACTATGTTTTGGGTATATAAAGCCAAGATGTCTGTGTAGTCTTCGAGCATCTCTTGGTTGAGGATGGGAATGAGGCAGGGAAGAGTATTGATTATATTTAGAAGCATGATGATGGTATCCAAGACTGAAAATTACACTACATGTAGTATTTGAACACCGGCCTCCCATTCTTAGGTAAGTTTCAGAGGGGAAAAAAGCATTGCTGTCCCTTCTCCTCTTTCTCCCTCCAGAAGCTCATTTATATTTAGCCAAACCAAATGCCCCTTGGGAAAGAAAAAGTAAACGAAGCATCTGGGTTATATGCAGATATGTATGTCAAAAGGGAGGGCCCATTTGATTTGGAGCTTTTTTTTTTTCCATTCTTTTGTTTTTATTAAATCATAGGTGTGTACATTAATACTATCATGGGGTACAGTGTGTTGTTTCTATATACAGTTTGAAATATTTTCATCCAACTGGTTAACATAGCCTTCATATCATTTTCTTAGTTGTTGTGTTAAGGCATTTATATTCTACTTTTAGAAAGACTCACATGTACCCCCATAGAATAAACCATAGATGTGATCCCACTAATTGCTCTCCCTCCACTCCTCCCCCCTCTTCCCCTCCTCCTCCCCCCTCCTCTCCCCTCTCTCCCCCCTCTACCCCATATTCTTGGGCTAAAATTGGGTATAGCTTTCCTATGAAAGCTATAAATTAGTTTCATGATAGGGTTGAGTACATTGGATACTTTTTCTTCCATTCTTGAGATACTTTACTAAGAAGAATATATTCCAGCTCCATACAGATAAATATAAATGATGTGAAGTCTCCATCTTTTTTGTGGCTGCATAGTATCCCATGGTATACATATACCATAATTTGTTAAGATTTGGAGGGTTTTTTTTTGCTAGCTATATCTGCACATATGTGAATATTCTTATCAGTTCAGTAGAATATATACATTTGGATGTTTGCCAACTTGTGTGCTGGTCTTAAGATATGTGGTACTATTAACACATTTGCCAGGGCCAGGCACAGTGGCTCATGCCTGTGATCTTTTTTTTTGAGACAGCCTCAAGCTATCCCCCTGGGGAGAGTGCCATAGCATCACAGCTCACAGCAACCTCCAACTCCTGGGCGCAAGCGAGTCTCCTGCCTCAGCCTCCCAAGTAGCTGGGACCACAGGCGCCCACCACAATGCCCGGCTATTTTTTGTTTGCAGCCATCATTGTTGTTTTGGTGGGCCTGGGCTGGATTTGAACCTGCCACCTTAGGTTTATGTGGCTGGTGCCTTAGCCACTTGAGCCACAGGCGCCGAGCCTATGCCTATGATCTTAGCACTCTGGGAGGCCAAGGCAGATAGATTGCTTGAGCTCAAGAGTTCTAGACTAGCCTGAGCAAGAGCAAGACCCCATCTCTGCTAAAAATAGACAAACTGTCCAGGCACTGTGGCAGGCACCTATAGTCTGAACTACTTGGGAGGCTGAGGCAAGAGGATCACTTGAGCCCAAGAGTTTGAGGTTGCTGTGAGCCATGATGCCATGGCACTCTACCCAGGGTGACAAAATGAGACTCTGTCTCAAAACAAACAAAACAAAACAAAGAAATCCCCCACATTTGTCAGGAGTTAGATCATATTAGTCGCCTATTGCTGTTTAACAACTTACCACAAATTCAGCTGTTTAAGACAACACATTTATTATCTCTCAGTTTTCAAGAGTTGGGAGTCCTGGCACACTCCGCAGAGTGCTCTCTGCTCAGGCTCAAGGCTGGAGTCAGGGTGTTGATTTTCCTGTGTTCCTTGTTGCAGTTTTTTCAGGTTCAGTCAGTTAATTGTAGTTGTAGGAGTGAGGTCCCCGTTTTCTTTCGGCCTGCCTATGGGTGGGGCAGGGTGGGAAGCCACTCTCAGCTCCTGGAGAACCTTCCTTTTTGACCCTCTCACAAGTCCTCTCACAAGATGGCAATTTACTTCTTCAGATTCCAGTCTGCTAAGACAGAGTCTTTATATGATACAACAAGCATTAAGAGTGACATCTATCACTTTTGCCATTGGCTATAAGCAAGTCATAGGTTCCACTCACACTGAAGGGTGGGACTTATATAAGGAAGTGACTCATTGGGGTCATCTTAGAATTATGCCCACCACATTACAAAACTTTGTTTGTGCAATGTGGTAGGCACTTGCTAGTAAAGATTACTTTTCTTTCCACCAAAGCTAAAGGTATTTGAGGAGGGGCATAAACCTCAGATTTAGCAGAGCTCTGAGGCTGTAATTGTTGCAAGGAAAAAAGAGTATGAAAGCCACCTTTGGCCTCCTCATACTTCTTCCACATATACGTGGAAGAAGTATGCATTTACGTATACATTTTGGGTCTGCATTTTTCAGATTGGCTACTACTCCAGGTCTCTAGAAGAGTCCTCATGGAAGGAGAGTCTCTGGCCTTGAGGTGTCATGGATGGAAGAATAAGCTGGTGTACAATGTGCTTTTCTATCAAAATGGCAAAACCTTTAAGTTTCTTCCTTGGAATTCCGAATTCACCATTCTGAAAACCAGTGTGAACCACAATGGCATCTATCACTGCTCAGGCATGGGATGGCATCGCTACACATCAGCAGGAGTATCTGTCACTGTCAAAGGTATTGTATCTGAATAATCAGAGAGCTATAGTCATAAGGACCAGAGAGACCATCATAAATCATCTAAAATCCTCACTTCAATTTACAAATGAAGAAACTGAGCTCCTGAGAAGTCAACTGCCTTACTGAAGGCCACACAGTAACCAGAGGCTGGGCTGAGACAAGAAGTAAGGTCTCTGGGCCCAAGTCCATTGCTCTTTCCAATTTACCACATCACCCCTCATAATCACAGGAGCTAATGTCAAAGTCAGGGCACAGTAGATCCATTAACCTATTTTAATTTAGTTGTAGATAAAGAGACTCACTCAAGGTAGCTAGGAATTTTACTAAAAAATAATGCAATGGAATCTCACGAAAGCTCCATAGAACTGGAAACCAGGAAGATATTGCGAACTGTTTATACTTTCCATCTATCTGTCAGGGACGATGCAACCTCCCTGGTCCCCCTTCTTTCTAAGCAGCTACAAACTAGGCAGATCCCTTTGTTCCAGTTTGCACGTGGCCTCATTCTGACTCTTTTACTCTTTCATCTTAGTACTCACAACTGGTAACTTTTTCTGTCTACAAGACAGAAAATTTCAGTTCATTCCTGAAAAAAATTATTGTCTCAGATTATTTTTTGAATCTGGAACACAAGTAATGAGTTACTGAACTGTCAAGTTTGTGGGTCACTGTCCACTCCTGGTTGACCACTGCCAAAAGGGCGTGATTATATAACAGATATAACCATTCAGGGAAATGCGGATCATGTGGGGGTCCACGCATTTCCTCAGTAGGATTGAGCAAATTGGCAACTGTTACCGTGTCCATTGGGAAACCCTGAGAATGCCTCTCTACTAGAAGTGGGGAAAATTATGACTTATGATGCGTTCTCTAGGGGCAGGTTACCAAGGGAATAAAAGGTATATCTTTTGTGAAAAGAACCTTGACACTAAACAGGCAACCCTGTTCCCATCGACATTCTCTTTAGAACTATTTACACCTCCAGTGCTGACAGCATCCTTGGTTTCCCCCCTCCTCGAGGGGACTCAGGTCAACCTGAGCTGTGAAACAACACTGCTCCCACAGAGGCCAGCTTTGCAGCTGTACTTCTCCTTCTTCCTGGGCAACAAGACCCTGAGGGCCAGGAGCACATCCACCAAATACCAGATACTAGCTGCTAGAAGAGAAGATTCTGGATCATACTGGTGTGAAGCAGCCACAGAAGATGGAAATATCCTTAAGCGCAGCCCGGAGTTGGAACTTCAAGTGCTTGGTGAGTGTGAATGATGGGGCATGACTGGCACAGGAGAGGGGTTCCCTTTCCTCCCACAAGATAAGATCGGTTAAAGGGTTTCATGGCTCAACCAGGGGGAGGAAGTGTCTTCAGAAGCCCCTGAGCCCCTTTCTAATCCTTGGTTCAGAATGTCACTGTTCTCCCCACAAACTTCATTAAATTTCCTTTCCTTTCTTACTCCTTTTTCTTTTCCTTTCCTTCCCCCATTTCATTCCTTCTTTTTGTTCTTCTGTCCTTTTCTTCTCCTTTCTTATTTTCTTTTCCCCCTCCACCCTTCCTTCCCTGTTTCTTCCCTCTCTCTTCCTCTGCTTCCCTCCCTTCCTCTCCCTCATCAATAACACACTGAGTTCCTCGTATCCATTGTCACAGGTCTGCTGACATAAAGACACACAGTGCAATTTTTGCTTCAAGGAGTTCTTATTTATAAGAGTGATTTTGTAAACTGCACATAACTACCTACCCAAGTGTCTATATCTAACTGGGGCAAAGAGATTATGAACTCCAGAAAAATGACTCTTGAGGAAAAAAGTTAATCATCAACTCACATTCATTTCAAGCATTAAATGGCATAGAGATAGCAGTTGTCTCTGCAACTAGGGGATAAATCCACTGACAGGGCCCAAAACAGTTAAACTCTTCCCAGGAGCCTGCTCCTTGTCTGTTCAGGACACAGCCTACCTGGAAATCCCACCAGGTCCTTTCTGACCCCTGAAATTACCAGTGCCTCACTGGGGACAGGCACACCTGGTCTCTTCCAGCTTTATCTTTCAAACATAACTCAGCCAGATCCCTCTGTTGTCTAAATAGTATCTCTCTCTCTCTCTTTTTTTTTTTTTTTTTTTTTTTGTCTTTTTCTGTTTCAGGCCTTCAGTCACCCATTTCTGTCTGGTTTAAAGTGCTGTACTATCCAGCCATGGGAATAATATTCATAGTGGATACTTTTCTCTGCACCTTGGTACATAGAGAGCTGCAAAGAAAGAAAAAGTGGAATTTAGAAATCTGTTTGGATTCTGATCCCTGGAAGAAGGTAACTTCTGACCTTCAGAAAGACAGATACTTAGAAGGAAAGCTAAAGAGTCCAGAGCAAGAACAGCCCCAAGAAAAGACACATCAGAAGAAGCCCCAGGAGGGGGAGCAGCAGCTTTGTGAGTAGCCCTGATCTGGACAGACCCCTGCCCTTCCTCTCTGTGTGAGCACTGGCACACAAACTTCCAGCAACACTAGAACTGTGGGTCTCTAAGCATATAACTCAAATCTTAAAACAGGAACTGACTTCAACAGAAAGAAATTTGGAAATTTGGTAATTAGAGATTGAAATGGGGTCTACTCTAAAGAAATGTTTAACAACTTAGAAGGCATGTGTAGCCTGATTATCCTTTTAGGTAGTTGAAAAATAGTGTATTTCCAAGAAGGAGGTGAAAATGTGAGCGTGCACAAGAGATTAAGACAGACAATGAAAGAGAGGAAGACAGAGAGAGACACACAAAGGCAGGAGTGGATGGGTTTCAGGGAAATAAGAAGGCATACTGTAGACAAAGGGAAGGAACTAGAACTTGCAAATGATGTCTGAGGGACTGTTTGAATCAGAGAGCTCACAACTCTGTGTTCAGTGTAGTTACTTCATAGTGTTTCTCTCTACTTTGCCGACAGAGAATGTTTCCATACAGGTTACAGGGATAGAAAAGAGTAACTGATGATGAGAAATGGCTGTTATTCTTGCCCTTTCACTTGGGGCTTTCTCATAACCCCTCTGTTTCCAGAGACAACATAGGTTTTGCCAGTGCTGATCTCTTGCCACACAGGAAGGAAGAATCGAACTGCTACTTTCCTTAATGAGTAAGTCCAGATCTCCAAGCACGACAATGCAGGGAGAAACTTCAAGTGGGAAGAAGCAGTGATATTATAAAGCCCCAGCTCTTGTCTCCAGAGATGTATTTTACTCTTCTGATTTTTTGGATGATTACTAACTAGCTTCAAGAAACACTGCTCTCTCCCTTGGGCTATAGTTGGTAGACAAAATATTTTCCTGATGTTCTATAACACAGCTGAGATAAAAACTGAATTATGTGCCGTAAGACTTTTACTAAAAGCTTAGAAAAGAACAAAAGGAGTATAGCAAACAAAAAGCGTGATTTCAGAGTATTTGATTTACAAAGTGTAGCTTACCTGCCAGATGTGGACGCATCCCTGGCTTCCCTCCATCCTGCCCGCCCCCCACTCCCACCCCCAGCAGAGCTCACCTGTAACACCAAGCACCTCGGGGCACCTTGAAGCAACTTAGGACTCAAAGTAGATGCAACAACTCCAGAGGCCACTGCTTCCCAGGCTGTGGACAACGGGCATGTTCTCCCTGTTACCCTCAGAAAAAAACTACAAGCATTATCATCTCTACAGAAACACAGCATCTCCTACATTTGTGTTAAAAGAGATGGTCATATATCCTAGCAGGAGTTTCACTGATTGCACATTACGCTACTATGATCTGGGAAAGCAGGAAAATGAGAATTACGGGAAATGAATCCCATAGGAAAGAGGCACAAAGACCCCCTGTAAAGGACTGAGAAATTGGGAATTGAAGCCAGAAATGAGGTTTATATTCAGAAAAGAGAGGTCTGCTTACCCTCACAGGGCAGTCAGAACTTCAGGTAATGGGATCCCTAGGAGTAGAAGGTGGAGGGGCAGACGTGGGTCTGGACTTAGTGCTCTGGCTGGGTGTGAAGCTAGAATCAGGCCAGTCATTGCTAAAGCATCGCCAAGTGCTTCCTTCTTCCCAACCTCCCCTCCATGCTTCCTCTACCAACTCTTCCATGTTTATATCTTTGTCACAATTAGTTCTTGTGTGCATTTTAATGCTTAAATAATTGATTTGATTAAACCAATTTCTTAGTTGAACAATTTGCATTCCAGTCTACTTTTATTTCTGGCCTGAAGCTGTACCTGATACACATTCTTGGAGTCCCATATTGGGGTCTACCTGCCTGTTTCCCAAGCCTCCGGCTGGGTCAGTCAAGGCCTGGTACTATCTCATATGCTCTCCCTCACACTTGCCCCATCTAAGGGCTCACTCATCTTTATTTTAACTCCATCCAGGACTGGAAAGACACACAAATGTCACTTGACCCTGTTGGAGAGAGAGGCCAAAGGACCCTGGATACCTTCCTGTGTTCACCATCCCCCACCTCAGAGAAAAGCCCATATAGTTGGCAGGGGCAGGGGCAGGTGCTGGTAATGGTAACACCCTTGGGGGACAGGGAAACCACAAGAAGGAAAGTGGAAGTCTCTCTAGGTCTGTTCTTGAGACAAATTGATAGGCACCCACAGGAAAACTTTACCTCAGAGTATCATTGTTGAAATAACCAAATCCACTTTGCTTCAGACATAGATACAAATGCATTGATCACTTTTGTTCACACCTGTTTTTCAGTTTGAGGTGAGGAGAAGAGCTGAGTAAATCAAAGAGATAGTTGCTCTAGGCTTTGGAGCAAGATTCCTGGCATTATCAGTGGGGCAGAATCATTCTGTATTTTGTGGGCTCTGTGCCACCATTGGTCAGTCCCACATCTCCTCTGCATACCCCAGAGGTCACCTGCAGGCAGTTCTCCTAAACGCCTGATTCTCATAGGTACCCTCTGCTGCATCAACTGGCATCCAGGGCAAGTCAGAGTGCCAGGGAGTCAAAGACCCAGGGTGGAGCTGCAAGCAGCAGGGAACAGGAGTTAACAGATAAGAACCCTCCACTTTGCCACCCCTCGACGGGCCATCCATGTAGTCTCTCAGAGGATCCCTGCAAGTTGAGCCCCAGTTCCAGTGGTGGCAACCTGCTCACTAGTGTCTCTTTTACGACTTGCCCCCCTCCTTTATCTCATTTCTCCAATCTGCTCACAGTGCTGGTTGTTGTTGTTGTTGTTTTAATTTTGAGATAGTCTTGCTCTATCTCCCTGGGAGTGCCATGGTATCATAGCTCCCAGCAATTTCAAACTCCTAAGCTCAAGGGATCCTCTGACCTCAGCCTCCCATGCTTAGGATTACAGGTGTGAATCACCACGCCTGGCCAGCAGTGCTTCTTGAGATTACCTCCCAAATAAGCTCCTTGTACCCAAACTTTGGTCTCAGGATCCTCTTTTGAGGGAATCTAAACTATAATAGCTTAACTGGGCCCACTCAGAGACACCAATGACTGTTTTCTAAGTCATCTTTTTTCTGTTGTGTTCATACAACCAGGTTGTTCAGTAAAATGAGGCAAATGGGTGCTCATCATGAGCTAGTGAAGTCCTGCT